CGCTGCAAATAAGCCAATTTCAGTAAAAGTCCCGCTGCAAATAGTAACACCCTTGAGGAAAATGGGGATCACTACACTCATTTAATTATTTTTGTTAATTAATTAATTAATTTATTAATAAATAAATTAAATTAACTAATATAAGGGCTACACCATACAATATCGAATAGAGGCCCAACTGATTAGCTTTGGCCCAATTTGAGCAAATCCAAAATGGACCAAATACTAAATTCGGACCATATGCTAAACTCGAGGACATCTATGCCCCAAATATAAAGGTAACATTACGGGTAGGGATGAGAATTTGACCCGCCCTTAAATTTCAGAGTATTACCGGATCGCCGCCACATCACTATCATCGCATGACAATTTTCTTCTCCGCTAGACCACTGTTCATTTTCCACCGTCTCACATTTCTCTTCTCTATCGAACCAATGTCACTTTGCCACCACTTGAAATCTCGTCAAACCAATCCGGTGTACCCGTGGATATTTTACGTGGCGTGTTTTGGGATACCAACTCTTAAACTCCAAGAATTTTGATCAGGATGGGGATGAGAATTCCCGGAGTGGGGCGGGGATTGCAAAACCCGCCCATGCCCACCGCAATTCCTAGTTGTGGGAAATTGGATTGTAAAAGGTGAATGAGAATAACTTCGTTAATTATGCAATAGGGCTTTGCAGTTACTTTTCTCAAGAATGATCGAATTTTAAATTTGTTGCGAACTCATTTTGAAATAAACATTTTACCAATATATAGTACATAAGGCATAACGAGTTCGGAGCAAGAAGATACAATTAGAGATAATTTCAACACATGGAGCTGTATTATATATTTAATGGCTCAGTTCCCTTACACCGTCCAGTCCTTTGTTCAAAATATCCAAATGGATGCAGCACCAACATGTTTCAGGTGGGGGTGGCAATTTCGCAACTTGGACTAGATCCGATCCGGATCCATGTGGATCGGATACAAATGGAACCGGATCCAAAACCAACCTATATAAATGGATTTAATGTGAATCGAATTTAGACCGATCCGGATTGGATGCACATGGATTCATTCTATTTTTAATTCAACTTATGAGGTTGAATATTTCAATTTATGTGGTTTAATATTTCAACTTTCAAACTTACACATATTTACACACACACACTTTTTATACACACTCTCACACACACGCACACAGTTTTTACACACACACTGCTTTAACACACGCACACACACTCACATCCACATACACACTTTTTACAAACACTTTTCATACACTCTCTCTCTCTCACACACACACACACACACTCACATATACACACAGTT